ATATATATATATATACATACATACATTGTTTCACTTGGAATGTGTTGCTGTGATATACATCCATTACTTAAACATGTTTTAAAATATTAAATAACACTTAAAAGCATATTACACCGAAAAAATATAGATTTTGTGTTATATTTTTGACATTTTTGTTTAATATAACGATAAGACGCACGAAAAAAATTCAATTAAGTTATATTTTACAAAAACAGACCTCCATTTACAACCTCCATGCATTGAAATTGTCAGTGGTGAGATTTTTTGTAGGATCTTTTTTTATGATTTCATATTTATTAATATCTGAGAGCATTAATTCTACCTTGTTAATATAATCAACTTTGTTTAGAACGACTGTGACGTTATCTTTGTCTGCCCTGGAAAAAAAATACTTCAGGATGATCTTTAGAAAACTTTTTTGTAGATTTTATCCAATCAAAAATCATTTCACTATTTGAATCAATTCTTGGGAACTCATTATGAAATCTTTCTAATATTGGAACAGTGTTATATTTCTGACAAAATTGACTATATTGTTAAGACGGTTATTAATGTTATTTTCAATATTTTTAACAAATTCTATAAATGTGTATTCTAGATTATTTTTATTTATGGGAAGGCAAATAAACCTCTCGCCTAACTGTAATAAATATTGAACTTTTACAGGTATGTCTATATTACTCAAATTAATGAACCACTTGTTGTTTACTTGTTTGTTGAATTTAATGGAATCCCCAAAGGCTCTAGCAGGTTAAGAAGGGGTCAATCGGCCCCCAAACGAATTATGACCAGTATGTCACCAAAAAGTTCGTTGACCCGAAAAAAAAATTTGGAGAAATTTTTAATTCCGTACACCACCCCTTTTCGGAGATATTGCCTTATGAAGTATTTTCATATTTTATTTTTGTCACGAGACCTATCAGATACAATTTTATTAAAAAAATTTGGGCATACAAAACGTATCAAAAGGTATTTGAAAATATTTTTTGCAAGATGTTCCAACCTAACCATAATTTTTAAAAAATTCCTGAAAATTTATAAGTGACCCCCTTTTGTTAGTTTATGATTGGTAATCTCGCAAAAATTCAAGAACATGTATTTTTAAACTTATTTTCACCCTGAACTTATTTTCAGAATTTTTTGAACCTGGCATCATGCCTAAAAAAATTAAAACTCGCCTAAAAAGGTAAAAAATCGCCATAAAATATATATCAAGTAGCCATAAAGCTCTAAAGGGCTCATAAGATAGCATGCAGAATTCACCATTAGTTTCGTTTAGTTTAGATATTTAGCGAAATTATCAAGCCTGCTGAATTATTATCCAAATTATTCGATGCCCAGAAAATTGCACCGGTCATCAATGAGGATCGCGACGACGATTAATAATATATACATGAACATATATAAATATATTATGTTGATCAAAATAAAGAAATTCCAAAAAGCATTTATAACCTTTAAATATTTCAAAATAGTTCCAATATGAAAAAAAGCATATGGCTAAAATTTTCAGAAAAAAATTCGGTTATGGGATGAAATTGTCGTACGATATTTTTTCTGCCTTAAATTCATCAGTCGTCCTCCGATACTCGTAAAAAATACTTATTACTGATGTATTCTAGTGTCTTAAGATTGCAGAACTATTCTAACCACACTTCAATGCCGTCTGAGAGTTTTGCGACTCTCTCAAGACCATTTTATGGCATTTTGAGTATTTTAAGAATGCCCCAAGGATATTTTGTAAATGTTTTAGAGTTTTAAGACTGCTTTAATGCTGAATAGTAATGTTAATCGAATTTTAGGGCTGTCTCAGAATTGTATTAGTGTGTTACGATTGTCTTAACCCTTTGCGTCACGGTGGGACGCTCAGCGTCCCACCTTTTATCCGTTGGTTTTTTCACCTTTAAAAATCAGTTTCTCATGTTTTTTACGTCGTGATTAATTTTCTACATAGCTGAGGCATTTATTTGTCGAATACAAGACATCATACATATTAACATACTATAGTTCATTAATTATAAACAATAATATACCAAAAAATGGCCATTTTTTGAAAAAGAAATCGTTTGTGAAAAATAATCACATACAATTCGCTTGAAAAACGCTACTCAGGGGTTTTTGGGGTCGCTGAATACGAATCTGATATCAGTTTTCAAAAAATTTAAAATGGCGGATCCAATATGGCGGACATGAAAATTGAAAATCGACTGAATTAGCTTGAAACGAGTAACTCGGGAGTTTTCGGTGTCGCCGATTGCGAATCTGATGTCAGTTTCTAAAAATTTAAAATGGCGGATCCAATATGGCGGATATGAAAATTGAAAATCTACTGAATTCGCTTGAAAAAAGTTACTCGGGGGTTCGCAGGGTTGCTGAATACGAAAATGAAAATAGATTTTGGGATTCAAAACGATTGAATATAAGTGGAAGACACTTATATATGAGTGAAAACTGACATCAGATTTGTAATCTGCAACCCCGAGAACCCCCGAGTAACTCCTTTCAAGTAAATTCATCCATTTTTTAAAAAGTCGTCCGCCATATTGTATCCGCCATTTTGAATTCCTGAAAAATGATATCAGATTCGTAATCAGCGACCCCAAAAACCCCTGAGTAACGAGTTTCAAGCGAATTCAGTGAATAGAAAAATGCGTGACTGAAAGGGTTAAGGCGATATTATGGATGTTTTAGTGTTTTAAGACTTCCATAATATTGCATAATTGTTTTAATCAGAGCGATGAACTATCTTAGGGTTATCTTGCTATCTTACCTGTGTCTGCAGGCTATCTTATGAGCCTTTTAGGGCTTTATGGCTACTTGATATATATTTTATGGCGATTTTTTGCCTTTTTAGGCGAGTTTTAATTTTTTTAGGCATGATGCCGGGTTCAAAAAATTCTGAAAAAATTCAGGGTGAAAATAAGTTTAAAAATACATGTTTTTGAATTTTTGCGAGGTTGCCAATCATAAACTAACAAAAGGGGGTCACTTATAAATTTCAGAAATTTTTTAAAAATTATGGTTAGATTGAAACATCTCGCAAAAAATATTTTCAAATACCTTTTGATACGTTTTGTATGCCCAAATTTTTTTAATAAAATTGTATCTGATAGGTCTCGTGACAAAAATAAAATATGAAAATACTTCATAAGGCAGGTCAACGAACTTTTTGATGACATGCTGGTCATAATCCGTTTGGGGGCCGATTGACCCCTTCTTAACCTGCTAGAGCCTTTGTCCGCCGAAATATGTATTTTTTCCAAAGAGCGACAAGTATCATTATCAATAACTTCTTTAATAATATTATTTCCTGACTCATTATTAAGTACATACGTAGGAAATAAGCTTAATGTGAGATTTCTTAATTATATTGAATTTTTCTTTTTTAACTAATACATTTTTTTATCAATTTTATTGGTATGTAAATAAAAGTTGGAACTATTAATATAATCTAAATATTTAAAAAATTCATAATATATAGAAGTTGGTAAAATATTATAAATTTTAAAGGAAATATTAAAAATATTAATTCTAGTAAAATATAAATGTTTATATGAATCCTTTAATTCAAGCTGCAAAATACAGGTAGCTTTAACATTATTAAGTTATATCTTTTGTTTAATTTAATATAAGAACTGTTATTGTACAATGATAAATTATTGGATAAATAAAACAATATAAGTAATAATAAGAAGATTCAATAAACAATTTATACATAATTTTTATTTCTCTTTGTTACTTACTTTGAATGTGAGTTCCAAGTAGAACCCGGAGTGTCGTACGTAGCACTGAAACATAACAAGAAAGACATAAAATTACAATATATTATTTTGAATATATTACTCATAATAAACAATAATATCCTATTATATAAAAAAATTCAGTCACAATTTTTATTTTTTTGTTACTTACTTTGGGTTTGAATCGCAAAATGAACACCCCGGGATTTTATCGGCACTGAAACATAACAAGAAAGACATTAAATTACAATATATTATTTTGAATATATTACTCATAATAAACAATAATACATTATTATATAAAAAAAATTCAGTCACAATTTTTATTTTTTTGTTACTTACTTTGGGTTTGAATCCCAAAATGAACACCCCGGGATTTGATCGGCACTGAAACATAACAAGAAAGACATTAAATTACAATATATTATTTTGAATATATTACTCATAATAAACAATAATATACTATTATATAGAAAAATTCAGTCACAATTTTTATTTTTTTTCCTCACGCGTGCACGTAATGTGCCCTATAACGCAACGCTTTTGCGTGCGGTAAATAGCCAATATCTCAAGCCGTTGAGTTATTTTTCTAACTCCACGCAAAAGCGTTGCGTTATGAAAAATAACGCAACTCAGTGGTAGCGCTCGTACAAATAACAACACGGAGAAACGCGCGCGACCGGAGCGTCCTTTCGGGGCATCTGGAGGAGGGGGTAAGCATAGTTTTCTCTAATAATAAAAGTAACTACGACAAAACGACAATACAGTATCTACAAACACACCGCTCCGCGCGGAGAACAATGCCATTCGACTGTCATGAGGCATTTCTACTGCCCGCGGAGCGGTGAGGAGGACAATGCAACATTTGGTTGATTTTCGAATAGCCTCCGTCTAGCTTTCGCTGTCCCTCTCACAACACCGCACCGCGCATAATATATTACCACGAAAAGTAACTGATTATTAATTAAAGTTGCCAGTGCAAAGTGAAAATACGTAAAGCGTACGTAACTCTCGGCCGATTTTCGAATCGCCGCCGCTTTTAAATATCAACTTATAATAACGTTTAATTGTAATAATCTCACAAGAGCTGCGCCCCCCCCCCCCGAATCCCCCCGCTTCCTGCGCCCCACGCACCACCCCATAAGTCACACTCGCTTCGCTCGTGCGAATTTATAATTGTATAACATATTATTAACACAGTGCACTCGTAAGGAAAAAATTTATGTGCAACTCATGTGCTAATTGTCTATAGCGCGGCGCGGGCGCGGGGGAGCGCAATAAACAACTTACCACACATGTTACACAATGTACTATTCTTACTTACTTTGGGTTTGAATCCCAAAATGAACATCCCGGGATTGGATCGGCACTGAAACATAACAAAAAAGAGGTTAAATAACAATAACAATAAAATCCTCAAGATCCAAGGGCATATGAGAGTTCCAACGTGGTTGTTATTACGTAGGTAATATAAGGCGCAGTTGTTAAAAAATCCTTTATTTACCAATTGATATGATTATTATTATCCATATGTAATTGAGACGTTTCGACTTCAATTTGAGTCATCTTCAGTCTATATTATAATAATATCCTCATTGCATATTATGTAAGTAAGTCAACATCAACTTAGCAGAACTGCATAATTTAAAATAATCAGAGTGTTATAATATTATAAAAATTAAAAAAATTTTTAAAAATTGATCCACCTTACAAACATACAAAGAAGAAGTCGGTAAATATTAAACATAATAATTCAAGATATTTAAGTCATGGATCGAAAAAATCGCAAGTGAACATACTTAATAAACGTGATACATGTTGTACCGATCGAATATGACTAAACACTGACCTTTATAATTTGAAATCATATTATCTTTTCTAATGTCAATGTACGCATTACCAAAACATTGTCAGAAACATTAAAATACAAATCAAATTATGTAGAGATAAATAAAAGAAAATTAAATAACAACTAATGTAACCAAATAACACATATAATCAAATTTTTTGTTTCATTTCGTTTAGCATCGTTAAATAAACATAATGTAAGCCTTCAGTATCAGTGCGTTTATTGAGACCATCCTCTTGCATGTGTATGTGTATGCATTCCGATATTAGTCGTCTGCTCAAGTATTTTTTCGAATCCAATACTTTTACATCGTCCCAATTGAAATTATGACCCGTTTTTAATCTATGTTCAGTAATTGAGAATTAGTGTTGTGATTTATATGATTACGATGTTCAGACATTCTAGTTTTTAATTTACGACCCGTTTGTCCCACATATGATGCGTCACAAGAGTTGCACGAAATCTTATCAATTACTAACAAGAAGAAGGAAACCGCAATAACGGTCATAGCCAATCTCATAAATTACATTTTTCTTTAGGAAGGATGTCTTTTTGGACTTTAATAAATTTATTTAATTTGTTTAAACTCTTGTGTACGCCAATTTAGTGTTAAATTGTTTTTTTATTCTTTCGAAGTTTTCCGAAATACCCGGAACATATGGTATTAAAAACTAAGGGGATACAAATTCACTATCGCAATTATTAGTATTTTTATTATTATCTTTCTTATTTTTATTTTTTTCCTTGGTCATATTTTTAATTAGTAATTTTATACGCGCATTAATTGTGTCGAAAATGAGTTCTAAAGTATAGTCGTTTTCAAGTAACAAGTTAATAATGTAACAAATATTCCTATAGTGACAACTTGGGTGAGATAATAAAAAAGTTTTGTCAATTAAACCTATAATAACATCCTTTTTTTGTGAAAGAGGGTGTGACGATTGTTTTGTTTTTGACTGGTATCGTTTTTACACTGATGTCACCTTGGAATGGAAGGCTCGCTCACCAAGGCGGTCATAAATGAGAACCTTCTTGTTTTAACAATTAACAATTTATTAATGCCTTTTCGATAATCAGAATCGAGTTATCGTGGTAATAGTACATTCTTAATTAACCACGTATCACTGTACGTCACGGCTCGCTACGACTGTTCATTAAAGATGATGGTTAATTGGTAGCTCGATATGTGCGAAAGTCAGTTCGTGTAATGGTATAATGCGATTGCACGTTATACCCTCGCGATACGTATTGCATTTCTCGATTGGCGCCATGAAAAGTGGTGCCGTTATCAGAGTACATAGCTTTCGGTAATCCTCGGCGGGACACAAACCGCTGATACGCTGCAATGAAGGTCGACGAAGTATAATCACTGACTAACTCTAAATGTAGAGCTTTAGTCGTGAGGCAGACGAATAACGCGATATATGCTTTCCGCGATTTATGTCCTCGACCGGGATTGATTCGGACGGCGATCGGGCCTGCATAGTCGACACCGGTATGAATAAATGCGCGTACTGTACGGTTAACTCTTGCGGCAGGAAGATCACTCATGAGTATAGGTATGTCGGCACGTTCTCGCGTACATTGTATACATTTATAAAGAACGCCTCGAACTGTAGCGCGGGCACGGAGAATCCAGAATTCGCTTCGCAATGATGCGAGCGTTAATTGAACGCCGGAATGCAGCATCCGAAGGTGATGATGCTGGATAATGAGTACCACCAGCGGGTGTGAACGCAAGACGAGGGGATTCTTCGTCGCTCCTGGGAGGTTGGCTCGTCGGAGTCTTCCCCGCAAACGAATAAGTCCCTCCTTATCTAAATAAGGGTTCAGAGTTGATAGCGGGCTGTTTTTTGGCAACGGACGCTGTTGATTTAGAGCTGCAATCTCACTCGGAAACATGTGCGACTGCATCCGACCAAGCCAGTAACTCTTGGCTTGCTGAATTTTTTCGGGAAGCAAAGTGACGGCACAAGATTGTGAATCTTTACAAGCTCGGAGTCGATTCAGAAAGTGATAAAGATACGCGGTGATCCTTAGTAATTTTGGCCACGAAGAATAACGAGACTCGAGATCCCAGGTTGATGTGGCATGTAAGGCACATACTGGGGGATCCGAGCGGTGTTCCAGAGGAGCATTGGAAGGGACCGAAGGGCACAAATGAGGCCAAGACTCGGGAGGTTGTCGTAACCAGGGAGGGCCTGACCACCACAGGTCATGCTTCTCCAATAAGTCGGGAACGAGGCCGCGTGATGCGCAGTCCGCTGGATTTGTTTGCGTCATGACATGACGCCATGGTACTTCGGGGATTAGTGATTGAACAGTCGAAACACGATTGGCTACAAAGGTTTTCCATCGGGAAGGTAACTGAGCCAACCAGGCAAGTGTAATGATGGAGTCAGTCCAGCAATGACACTCTATATTCGGGAGCTGAAGCGCTGAGCGCGTAAATTGAATTAACCGCGCGAGGAGCATTGCAGCGGACAATTCTAAGCGGGGAACGCTTATCGTTTTAAGAGGTGCCACTTTTGATTTGGCAGTTAGAAGAGTTACGGTAACGGAGCCGTCGTGACTGACGGTGCGAAGATACACCACTGCAGCGTAAGCTGCTGTCGATGCGTCGGAAAAACCGTGAAGGGCGCGGTGTACCGTCTGAGAACTGGAAGTGGTCCAGCGCGGTATGCTCAGAGCATTAAGGCACGGAAGTCGTTTATAATAGTCCATCCAACAATCAAGAAGTTGGCGAGGGATTTCATCATCCCAGTGGCAATGAAGTGCCCACAATCGTTGCAAGAAAATTTTGGCTGTGACAGTGACAGGGGTAGCCCATCCTAATGGATCAAAAAACTTAGCAGTTGTTGACAGAATGACTCGTTTGGTGCAGACGGGTGACGATGGTAGAGTGACGCGAAATTGAAATATATCTAATTTAGGATTCCAAATTATTCCTAATACTTTAATGTGCTCATCGTCTTGCATGACTTTATGAGTGGCTAAACCATGATCGGATGAATCGATATCGGATAACAGATCCGAGTCGTTACTCGCCCATTTGCGAAGGCGAAAGCCTCCCTTTTTAAGCAATTCTATTAATTGATCGCGTGTTTGACGAGCGAGATTTTGGTCGTCGGCGCCGAAGGCGCAGTCGTCGACATATGTCTGATGACAGAGAACGGGGGCGGCTAGCGGAAATTTGGCTCCTTCATCGTCTACAAGCTGATCCAAGACTCGGAGGGCTAAATATGGAGCGGCAGCTGTGCTGTAGGTTACTGTGAGAAGACGGTACTCCGTGATTGGTTCACCGGAGTTCGGTCGCCATACAATGCGTTGGTAGTTGGTGTCGCGTGAATCGACTAAAATTTGCCGGTACATTTTAGTAATGTCGGCGGTAAATACGTAACGGTATTGGCGCCACTGCATGATGACCGTGGCTAAGTCCCTTTGCAGTTTAGGGCCAATGAGCATATGATCGTTCAACGACATCCCGTTTGAAGTACGGCAAGATGCGTTGAAGACTACTCGGAGTCGTGTGGTTGCACTGCTGTCGCGTAGGACAGCATGATGCGGGATATAGTAAACTTGGTTTGATGTAACAATTTCGGCGGGTGTAACTTTGGTCATATGACCGAGGGTTTCATATTCTTGTGATTTCTGTGAGAAAATCGCGGTACAGGGAAGCTTTAGTTGTGTCTCGAAGTAGGCGTTGTTCCATGCTATGAAAGCTTGAAATCGTGTTAGAGCGAGATTCGCCTAATGAGATTGGCGGTCCAATTTTAAACGGCAGTCGTACTATGTAGCGTCCGTCAGACGTACGTGAGTGTGTGGTTCTGAAGTGTTCATCGCACTGATGTTCCTCAGGGCTGCGAAGAATTTGCCGAGGTACTTCCTCGATCTCCCAGAATCGACGAAGATCGCGATCGAGAGTTTCAAGGACAACACCGTGATGCGCAAATTCGATAGTAGAGTGATTAGCTGAAAACGAGGCTGTTGGTCCTGAAAGGATCCAACCGAGAGTGGTATTTTGCGCGGTAGGTTCATTCGGAGCTCCTTTTCGGACTCCGTTGATGATGAGCAGGCCGAATAGATCGGCACCTATGATAAGATCGATCGGATCCGAGCTCATAGGGTCACCATCGGCAAACTTAAGTCCCTTGAGGTGGCTCCAGTTACGAGCTGTCTCGATTTGATTTGGCACGTATTTGATTAATGATCGTAATATAAGCGCGATTGTCGAGTAAGCAGGTCCATCGCGATCCGCGGGGGTAATGGTAATTTGGGCAGCGTAACGCACGACGGACTGCATTTCGCTTATACCGGTGATGAAGGCGGAACAATTAATTTTCTTAAGTCGTAGGCGTTGCGCAAGCGATTCTGTTATAAAGGTAGCGGCAGATCCTTGATCAAGGAGCGCAGGAGCATTTACAAAGCATGTATGAGACGAATAAACTCGTACGCGAGCTGTTGCGAGTAAGATCTGAGAGTTCGGTGCTACTGTTTTCGTTATTAAATGCGACGCAACGGCGCTTAGACTTTCAAGATTCGCGGTGGTGGACGTCGACGGTTGCTCAGTAGCGAGTGGCTGAGCGGGGGTATCAAGATGTAGTAACGTGTGATGCCGTTTATTACACTGTTTGCACGAACGAGAATTCGTACAATCCTTAACAGAATGTTTTACACTGAAACAGTTGGAACATCGCTTTTGGGTTTTAATGAAATCGAAACGTTGAACGGGAGTTTGCTTTAAAAACGTAGAGTATTGATACAATAGATGGTTCGCTTTACATAATGGACATAGGAACTGAGCGGTAGACGCGGCATGCGAGGCAAGTGTTTTGCCTTTGGAGGTCGTCGGTGATTTATCTTTTGAAATCGCGGGTGCTGTAACGTGGATATTCCACCGTATCGCCGAGCTTAAGTTCCCACGCCTTTCGTGTTGATTTATCAAGTTTTTGTGACACTAGAAATACAAGCAAATCATCCCAGTGTTCAGTAGCGCAGCCGAGATTGCTTAGCGCTTGAAGAGCTTTATTCGTTTGATCGCGAAGGGAACGAAGGTCGTTGGAGGTCTCTGAAGCGATCGAAGTTAAATTGAAAAGCGATTGTAAATATACCGTAATAAGGCGTCGTTTATTGTCATACCGAGACACGAGAATATTCCACGCGATAGTGAAATTATTATTGGTAACCGCGAGATGGTCAAGAGCGTTACTTGCACTTCCTTTTACACATGAACATAAGTAATGCATGCGATCAACATTCGTTAAATTATGATCATCGCAGATCATCGATTTGAATTTGTCGCGAAAACTTTCCCATTTCTCGAAACTTCCGTCGAAGGTCGGCAAGTTGATTCTCGGCAGATGTGACGTGGCCCGAAATGAATTATTAATCCCACTTACTTCATGTGCAGCGGAAGAGGGTTCGCGGGATTCGTGACTGTCCAGTAGTTCAGCCGTGAAATCGGCTGCTTCGTTGTAACAATCCTCACAGGTTAGGAAATAATTTTGGGTGAAGTACGCATGAGTTGCCTTCACCTTCTCGTCCGTAGCTAAAAGTTGAATATCCAGCTCTTGGCATTTGGCAAAGGTTTCCTTGAGAGTGTTGAGGCGTTGCCGCATTACGGCAGGTGTCATCTTGGCTTGTCCCAACTTCTTGAAATTAGGAAGCGCGCGAGATATTGCGCTCATCAGGTGAGTCTGCATCCTCAACAATTCATCGATAGAGGCCATGATTTCCAACGGAAGAGGCACGTCAATAAATAACGAGTCAAAGACAAGTCAGTAGACACAGTATTTATCCTCGGTAGCGATCCGGCTCGAAGGACCAAAATGTTTTGTTTTTGACTGGTATCGTTTTTACACTGGTGTCACCTTGGAATGGAAGGCTCGCTCACCAAGGCGGTCATAAATGAGAACCTTCTTGTTTTAACAATTAACAATTTATTAATGCCTTTTCGATAATCAGAATCGAGTTATCGTGGTAATAGTACATTCTTAATTAACCACATATCACTGTACGTCACGGCTCGCTACGACTGTTCATTAAAGGTGATGGTTAATTGGTAGCTCGATATGTGCGAAAGTCAGTTCGTGTAATGGTATAATGCGATTGCACGTTATACCCTCGCGATGCGTATTGCAATTCAAGATCTCACTTGACTGGTAACGTGAAAATATGTGGTGAGTCCGTTTGTTGCTCACTCCGGAGCACACGTTTGCGAGGCGTGAATACAAGATATTGATCCGGTAACGATCGAGATAAGACTGCTCTAACGAAGGATTCACGCAGAACGAGTGCGCGGAACGCGCGATTTCGGGTGCTGTGCAGAGGGGCGAGCATTCCATCTGAGACAGATGGATTAAAGAGAGCGACAGCGAGATCTACGCGAACGGGGATACATGGATGCGTGGAACTGTCAAGAATATAATTTAAATGACGATGATTCCGTAACAACGATAAAAAATTAAGAAATCGTCCTGAGAACGTAGGTTTATGGTACCAGTCAAATTCTAAGAAATTATTATTGTTTATTATAGTAAGATCTAAAAAATTAATTTTATTACCGCCTACTTCTAAGGTAAATTGTAATCTATCATGGATTGAATTAAATATCTTCAATGTATTGTTAATATCCGATCTCGGGATTGCCATAACTACGTCGTCCACATAGCGATAGTAAAACTTAGGTTTTCAGCATATCATATTCAATGCTAAATTTTCTAAATCTCTCAGCACAAGGTCAGCTATGATAGGCGATAACGGAGATCCCATAAGGGTCCCGTAATTTTGTTTGTAACAATTATCATTAAAACTAAAAAATGTTGAATCTAAAACTAATCTCAACGCCAATAAAAATTCATTTTTCGAAATACTAACATTACTATTAATAAAATTCCATCTTGATTCTACACTTTCTATCGCTTTGTTTATGGGAATATTAGTAAATAGCGAAGTTGCGTCTAAAGAAATCAAAACCATGTTGTCATCTAACTTAATACCTTTTAACTTTTTTATCAGATCAACACTATTCTCAACGTTATTGTCAGATTTGGGAACACTTTTAGATATAACATCATGCAAAAAGGCAGCCAAATCATACATCGGACTATCAATCGACGAAATAATTAATCTAAGAGGCACATTCTGTTTGTGTATTTTAGGAAGAGCGTAGACTCTCGGTAAATTGCCATCACTGCAAAATAGTTTCTTATACAAGTACTAGTCAATATATGCTTTCTTTTTCCGTCTTTGAAGCAATTCTTTTATACTGTTAGTTATTTTAATAGTAGGATTTTTATTCAATTTTGTGTAAGTGTCTTTGTCATTCAACATTAGTAAAACGTCATTATTATATTTTGTTTTATCAAGTGCAACTGTAATGTTACCTTTGTCAGTTTTAGTAAGATCAAATCCGAATTAAATTTAAAAAAATTTTTTATTTTTTTAATTAGTTTGAATATATTATTGTTAATATTATTTTTTGGTGTACGTGACAAAATCTTATTTTTTTAAAATGGATACGGAGATTTCTCTAATTTTATCTATTTGTTCTTTACTGTATTGTAAAAAATTAAGTTTTCTTATATTGTTTTCAATGCATTTAATAAAATCAGATAAAGTCAACATTTTGTTATTCAAAGCAACAGAAAAATTCTCTCCTAATTGTAATAAACATTGAATATCTTCAGGTATATTAATGTTAGAAAGATTTACAAACCATTTATTTCTTTTATTATTTAAAGAAGAATTATCTGTCAAATTCAAAAAATCTATTGGTTTAATTTCTATTGTATTAAAATTGTTGTTCACATTATTATCATTATGTATAGTATGTTGGACATCATTATGTAATTTCATGTCTGTGTAATTGAATCTAGTAGGAACGTCTTTATTTGATTCTATGTCAGCATTATAATGGTATTTTATTGAAGCAATGTTATTAGTACTATCCAATTTATTTTTTTGTATTAGCCATCTTAATTTTTTGTTTATCTTGTACATTTTTGTATTAAGTTCAAATTGAAAGGAATCATTATGTCTAATAAAAAAATCATGGCAAACGTTTGTTGGAATATATTAAAAAATTTGTCTTCTAAGATGGAAAATTCGCTTATATAAAAATTGACATTTCTGTACGCATTGTTTAATTCTAATTTTTTCGATCCATGACTTAAATATCTTGAATTATTATATGTAATTTATCGACTTCTTCTTTGTATGTTTGTAAGGTGGCAATTTTTTTTAATTTTTTTAATTTTTATAATATTGTAACACTCTGATTATTTTAAATTATACAGATTTGGCATCAGTTCTGCTAAGTTGATGTTGACTTACTTACATAACATGCAATGAGGATATTATTATAATATAGACTGAAGATGACTCAAATTGAAATTATTGAAGTCGAAACGTCTCAATTACATATGGATAATTATATCAATTGGTAAATAAAGGATTTTTTAACAACTACGCCTTATATTACCTACGTACTAAGAACCACGTTGGAACTCTCATATGCCCTTGGATCTTGAGGATTTTATTGTTTTTGAATCAAAAGAGTCCGAAATAAGATTTCGTTTTTTATTGTTAAATAACACAATATATTATTATTAATATATTACTTTTATAATATACAGTATATTATTTTAACCTTGACAATAACGGTTAAGCAGCTCCGATGACTTTGACCTTATCGTATGTTTTCAAGGTCATGACCCTGAGAAACCTCCAACAGATTTTAATCGTCTCTCGTCCTTCGTTAAAATTTTATTTTAAAAAAAGTGTCAAATGTAACGTTGTACTTTTATTGAAACCTTCCACGAATAACTTTTTTGCTTATGACTATTGCATCAAACCATCATTTAACTTTTCACACGAAATGACTCTCACTCCCCCCTTCTCTTTGCAAAGGAGCATACGACTTCTATGAGTGTACTGTTTCATGTGGATTTCGACTTTACACGAAATAAGAACTATCTCATGCCAAAGAATGATTGGGTTAGATTATTTTTAATAGTATGGAGCCTCCCCCCTCTCGCAGTGAGGGCGGAATCTACTGTATCCACACATACATTTTACAACATAAACCGACATGGAAGTTGCAAGCTCCTTCGCAGGGGAAGGGGCTCCACTATTGTTTTTAAAGCAACGAATTATTATTTTTAACATTTATACATTGTAAAGCGTATGCATATATGCAGTAGTTTCCGCCCCCCTCTGCGGGAAGCTCCACAACTGTTAAAAATAATCCATAGAGATAGTATAATAATGCTAGAGGTGTCAAGGCTATGTCAATATACATATGTCAAGGCCAAAATCATCGGAGGTGCTTCCGTTATTGTCAAGTTTACTAATTATACATTTTTTTTAAAATAAAGTAAGTACATTGATAGCAAAATAATAAATTTTAATTTTTTGTTACTTACGTGTTAATCTGGCAGTGATCTGTTAGCCTATGAAAGAAAAAAAAGTTATTATTATAATAATACTAAAGGTGTCAAGGCTATGTCAATATATGTCAAGGCCAAGATCATCGGAGGTGCTTCCGTTATTGTCAAGTTTACCAATTATAAATATTTTTTAAATAAAGTAAGTACATTGATAGCAAAATAATAAATTTTAATTTTTTGTTACTTACGTGTTAATCTGGCAGTGATCTGCTAGCCTATGAAAGACAAAAAAGTTATTATTATAATAATACTAGAGGTGTCAAGGCTATGTCAATATATGTCAAGGCCAAGATCATCGGAGGTGCTTCCGTTATTGTCAAGTTTACTATTTATAAATTTTTTTTTAAATAAAGTAAGTACATTGGTAGCAAAATAATAAATTTTAATTTTTTGTTACTTACGTGTTAATCTGGCAGTGATCTGCTAGCCTATGAAAGAAAAAAAAGTTATTATAATAATGCTAGAAGTGTCAAGGCTATGTCAATATATGTCAAGGCCAAGATCATCGGAGGTGCTTCCGTTATTGTTAAGTTTACTAATTATACATTTTTTTTAAAATAAAGTACATTGATAGCAAAATAATCAATTTTAATTTCTGTTACTCTTACGTGTTAATCTGGCAGTGATCTGCTAGCCTATGAAAGAAAAAAAAGTTATTATTATAATAATACTAGAGGTGTCAAGGCTATGTCAATATATGTCAAGGCCAAGATCATCGGAGGTGCTTCCGTTATTGTCAAGTTTACTAATTATAAATTTTTTTAAAATAAAGTAAGTACATTGATAGCAAAATAATAAATTTTAATTTTTTGTTTTCTTACGTGTTAATCTGGTAATAAGCTGCTAGCCTATAAAAAAAAAAAAAGTTAATAAGGCTCTATGAATATAAAACAATGTATACAAGAATAACAAAGAGTCCGTAAAGTAACAAAGAAATTTAGTTTAAATAATTATAAAACATTTAAAGTAACAGAAAATTAATTTAAATAATTACAAAACATACGTTTCAATCGGGTCATTCTCAATGTTACAGTTAATATAATATAAAGATCGTTTATACAGTGAATAAATTACAAAAAACATTATAAATATTGCTTCTACAGAAAGTTAAAAATATTGTTATGCTTCTATAAATTTCCTTTATCTGCTTTAGAAATTAATATTTCCGGGTGATTATTAACGAATTTTTTATCTTAATCCAATTCAACAATAATCTACGTGGGCAAGTTAAAAAGTTTTTAAAAAACATAGTAAAACACATTTTTTCATCGATTTATTTT